TGAAGGGGAGAATCGAGCACTTCAATACTTCATCTCCGCTCCCGACGTCGGCCTCACATACTAAGCCAACTTAACGGCTACCCTGCAGCTGCATGGCTACGTAGACGCAGACCACGCGGGAGACATTGACAACAGACGCTCCCGCACAGGATTCATTTTTCAACTCCAACCTGCTGGACTCATCTCATGGAACTCTCAGAAGCAGGAACTCATCGCTCTTTCGTCAGCCGAAGCCGAATTCATCGCCGCCAGCGCAGCCGTTCGCGAAGGACTGTACCTGATGAAGGTCCTACACGAAGCGAAAGTGACGATGAACGGGCACTTCACGTTACTCTGCGACAACCAGAGCGCGATCAAGATCGCGAACAAGCCCAGCTTCGTGAACCGCACGAAACACATCGCCCTTCGCTACTTTTTCGTCAAGGACGAAATTGACAAAGGCAAGGTCAAGCTCACGTACTGCCCAACTGGCGACATGGCGACCGAATTTTTGACAAAGAAACTGCCACGTCAACAGTTTCAGCACTGCGCCAACCTCTGCGGGATCACCAAGAAGTCCCACGTGGCTCACCTTCAGGAATGAAGGGGAGTGTTGGAATAACCGAAAGGTTATCACAAGCATTCCCGAAGGCTCTCCACTCTCGCGTTACTTCATAACGAAGCAAGCGCCTGTATCAGTACCGCAATAGCTCATATAGAGCACGCGGAAGGTCGAGGGTCACCCGAAGGTCAACAGTCGAAGACAGTCAACGGTCGTGACCCTTGACTGCCCAGTAACCGCACAAGGCTGTTGCGAAGTGCAACGTGGTAACTCTCTAGAATGGCAATAGTCGTGGTTACTGTAGCAATGCAATTCAGTTAATAAGGGAATGTACCCCCTCAGAGTACATGGCTAGCTAGGATTGCTATTTATATTCTTGTACTCCTATCTTATAATCATCTTGTTCTCTCTCAATTTATTAACAAGGTCACTACAGAGACTTCACAGTTCTCTCATATACTTAGCAGCTTTATCCTATCCACTGCGATCCTTCAGTTATAACTGTTAGAAAGGCAAGCAGAAAGTTAGAAGCAGAAAGGAGAGGTTCATTAGTAAGTAGGGCAGTACATATAGCAAACCCTAATTTGGGTTGTACTCACTATAGAGTACCCCACTGCAGACTAGACAATGATAACATTCTGACACACCCCCATGGTCAAAGTGGGGTATAATCAGCACAGCAAGCAGTCATAGAGCAGGTTCACAAGGACAAGCAAAGCTAGAGGCATTCACAACGGGCACGTGAGGAGGAGGAGGCGAGACTGTAAGAGGAGAGGAGATAGGAGGCGACGGCTGAAGCTGCAGACACACGGGTAACAGGAGTCACACTGGCACAGGGGCTACCGGAACAGCGCCCCGGACTACTGGAGTAACTGGCTCTGCGGCTAACTCTGAGCGGCAGGAGCAACGGACCCACGGGCGACTGGCGCAGCTGGCTACGACTGGGCTACCAGGACAGCGCCCCGGACTACAGGTGCTGCGGACGACAAGACGGCAGCCTCCGCTCAACCTCCCCCAACTGTCCCACCCCCCTTTCACACACCCACTGCTACACCCCTAGCTCCACTCCCACGTCACCCCCCTAGTACCACTCCTTCGGCTCCCACACACCCACCCACCTCAGCGGCAGCTGCAGCAGTGGGAGACGGAGGAGGAGGAGTAGGGGACGGCACACACAACCGGCACCCCCAGAACCGCCACCCCCACACTCCCCATCCCCAAACCCTAAAACGGGTGGCACGGGGTAGGAGCGCGGGGGACGGCGAGGGGGACGGCGCGCGGCCCCCAGGGCGCCACCACGGGGCAGCGAGGGGCCGCGCGCGGCTCCCCAGGGTGCCGCGGCGGGGCAGCGGGGGGGTCGCGCGCAGCTCCAGGGGTGGCGCGCGGGTCCAGCGGGACAGTGCGCGGGTCCCCGGGGGCGACGCGAGGGTCGACGGGGGGCAGCGGGCAGATCCCGCATGCGATGCGAGGGTCGACGGGGGGCGCGCGCGGGTCCCCGGAGGCGACGCGAGGGTCGACAGGGTGCGGCGCGCGGGTCCAGCGAGGCAGCGCGAGAGCCGACGGGGGGGCGCGCGCGGGTCCCCTGTGGCGACGCGAGGGTCGACGGGGGGGGGGGGCGCGCCATGCAGAAAACCGCCGCGCGCCCCGGGGCACACGGCGGGCAGAAAACCGCCGGCGCGCGGCGGGAAGAAAATAAACGCCACGTGCCTCTAGCGCGCGGCAGGCAGGAAAGGTCGCGCGCCCGAGGCGCTCGATAGGAAGGACAGCAGCGGAAGACTTAGGTGGGCCCATCCACAGGATCGACCCGAGGGGGTCGACCTGCTCTGATAGCATGTTAGAAAGGCAAGCAGAAAGTTAGAAGCAGAAAGGAGAGGTTCACTAGTAAGCAGGGCAGTACATATAGCAAACCCTAATTTGGGTTGTACTCACTAGACAATGATAACATTCTGACAATAACATCACGATGCTTCTGCTCCGACGGTCCAGATGCTACCAACCGTACGTGACTCTTCGCGTCATGTCTGATTTTTCGCCTTCATACATGCGTTTGTGTTCTTGACTTGATACTGGTGGGAATGTACAGTAGTTCTCAATTTATTGTTCGTAACACCCCACTCCATTCCTTGCCGTAGCAAGTCTTGACTTGCTTGACTACACCGCTCAGTTCGGAGCAGTGCTGGTACTTTGGACGGGGCAGTCGCTTCGTGAGAAAGTCGGTGGTCATCAGGCCCTCAGAAGTCAGACTTTTTTCTTTGATTTGGCCAAAAAACTCTGATATTTCAGTTTTTTTTTTTTTTTTTTTTTTTTTTTTTTCAGTGTACTCTGTAAATTTCAGACTTTTTAGGGCCTTAACTCTGAAAGTTTCAGACCCTTTTTAAGGCTAACTCTGAAATTTCAGAGTTTTCTGGGAGTGTACTCTGATCATTCAGAGTACAAAGACGATCTTGACTGGTGATCCGGACTTCACGGGTCAGAGCAGATTCGCACTGTCAACGCAAAATCGCCTTGACACAGCAAATCCGCGCCTTACAGCACAAAATTTCGCCCAATCACAGCAAAATCGCCCTGACACCACAGATTTGCGTTGTCAGAGCACAACAATTTCGCCCAATCACAAAACAATTCCACATGACATTGCAGATTCGCCCTTTCACACCACAAGATTCGCCCTGACACAAAATTTTGCCCTGTCAGAGCATTCTCCCGGAAATCCCCTTAGTCTTGCTTGTTTCGGTATCAGATGAACGAAATATTGAATACATTTCTCATCAAGCATTGAATACATTGATTTCGAATGTTCAGACTTTTATTTAAAGACACTCTGAAATTTCAGCCTTTTTTTATGCCAACTCTCAGAGTTTCAGACTAATACTGTGTACTAGTATGACGAATCAGAGAGGCCAAAAACGAATCTGAGGGCCTGGTTGTCATGTCACCCGCTTGGGCACTAGGTCAGATCGACCTTCGCAAGAAATACCACAGCGCGATGCGTTTGGTGTGGCTGACGATTCTGATCCCGCTCTGGTTGTCGCAGTGCAGGTGGAAGGTCGGCGAAGTTGGGATTTTCGCTTCATGCACGGTTTTAAAGGCTCATTTGGGCGGGCTAATGCATCATACATGCATCATGATGCATCCGATTATGCGTGTCTCGGTATGCTTGCGTGCCTGCACCCCTGCTTCCGTTTGCTATGACTTCACCTCCCTCTGTTCCTGGTGCCTCTTCCCTACCCCCACTGCCCCCGTGCATGTACTGGGATGCCCCCCCTTGTCGCTTCTGCCCCTACCTGTGGCCTCTGCCCCTCCTGGTCGCCTCCGCTTTGCCTTGCGCGCAGGCGATTGCAAGGGCTGGATAGCGGAGTGGCGGCCAGTGGAGGGCGGCAAGTGGGTGGTGGGCGACAGCAAGTTCAGAGGGCACCAGGGCAGCGTGGAGGACATACAGGTGTGTGTGGTGGGGAATGCGGCATGACGCATGTGGGATGGGGGATGGGGCATGGGGGATGGTGAATTTGGGATGGGGAATGGGGCATTGGGGATGGGGCATGGGGGATGGTGAATTTGGGATGGGGAATGGGGCATTGGGGATGGGGCATGGGGGATGGTGAATTTGGGATGGGGAATGGGGCATTGGGGATGGGGCATGGGGACGGGGCATGGGGAATGGGGCATGTGGAATGGGGCATGGGGGATGGTGAATTTGGGATGGGGGATGGGGCATGGGTGATGGGGCATGGGTCAAGGCAGATTTGTCCGCATGCCAAGAGCACTAACCGCCTGTATGCCAAGAGCAGCGCTCTCCCTGCTGTCCCTCCATCCTTACACCTCACATTGCAACCCACCTACCCACTCTCCACCTCCCCTCTCCTCCATCCCCTCCCTCCTCCCCCCTTAAAAACACCACCGCCAGTGGAGCCCGAAGTGTTTGCATCCAGCGGGGTGGCTTTCAATTGGACTCAAATGCCATCTCCTTCCCCTCTCTTCCTTCCCCTCCCCTCTCCCCCCTGCCCTTCCCCCCCCCCCCCCCCCCCTCCTTCACCCACCACATCACCACTACCAGTGGAGCCACGGAGCCCGAGGTGTTTGCATCCAGCGGGGTGGACGGCACGGTATGCTTTTGGGACGTGCGTGCTGCCTCGCGCACCGCGCCCGCGCTGCGAGTCTAGGCGCATGACGCCAATGTTAATGTCATCTCCTGGAACAGGTGAGCTTCGCAGTGCTGTGCTGTGATGTGCTGCTCTACTCAACCTCATCTTCGATCTTCATTCCCCTCCTCTCCCGCACCGCCCTGCGCTGTGAGTCAAGGCTCATGACGCCGATGTCAATGTCATCTCCTGGAACAGGGGGGCAATGTGATGTGCTCCACTGTGCTCTGCGCTGCCTAATCTTCGATCTTCATTCCCCTCCTCTGTGCTGCGAGTCAAGGGGCTTGACGCCGATATTGATGTCAATTCCTGGAACAGGTATGCTCCGATGTGCTCTGCCCTACTCTGCTCTGCCCTACTCTGCTCTGCCCTACTCTTCTCTGCCCTACTCTTCTCTGCCCTACTCTGCTCTGCCCTACTCTGCTCTGCCCTACTCTTCTCTGCCCTACTCTTCTCTGCCCTACTCTGCTCTGCCCTACTCTGCTCTGCTCTGCTCTGCTCTGCCCTACTCTGCTTTGCTCTGCTTTGCCTTGCTCTACTCTGCTTTGCTCTGCCCTGCTTTGCTCTGCACTGCACTGCTTAACATTCAACCCCTTTTTACGGGTCCTCCCCTCCCCACTCCTTCTCCTCTCTCCACCAACCCTCTTTACATGAGCCATTACTCTTTGCTCGCTCCCATCATCGTTGACTCTTTCCCACACACTCCCAAGTTTTGAGGCGTCTCAAAACTTGCTCCTGTCATTGTTGACTCGTTCCCACCCACCCCCTTCAACATCCTTGCATGCACATTCTGCCCTTCCCGCCTCCACCTCTTCCTCTCCCTGGCCTCCTACTCCCTGCTGCCCTCCTCCCCCGCTCCGCGCCCCCCTCCTCTCTCCCCTATTCTCAGATTCGCAAGCTGCATGGTGGCATCGGGGTGTGATGACGGGTCCTTCCGCATCTCGGACCTGCGCCCCTCTCACCGCCCTTGCTCGCGCATTCTGCCCCCCTCCTCTCTGTCTCCCCCTGTGCCCCCTCCCTCCCCACGTCCCAGACTGGCAAGCTGCATGGTGGCATCGGGGTGTGATGACGGCTCCTTCCGCATCTGGGATCTGCGCTTGCTGCGGGAGGCGGGGGCGGGCAAGGAGGGCGGCGCCTTCATAGCGCACTTCAACCACCACCGCCAACCCATCACGTCCATTGAGTGGAGCCCGCATGAGAGCTCCACACTCGCTACCTCCTGTGCCGACAACCAGATCACGTGAGTGGTGGTGGGAGGGTGCAGTGGGGAAGGGGCGCGTTCATAGCGCACTTCAACCACCACCGCCAGCCAATCACGTCCATCGAGTGGAGCCCGCATGAGAGCTCCACGCTCGCTACCTCCTGCGCTGACAACCATATCACGTAAATGGTGTGGGAGTGGTGGCAGTGGTGGTGGTAGTGGTGGTGGGAGCGGTGGTGGGGGGAGTTGGGGTCACCAGCAAGTGCCACCCGCTCCCAGCATGTGCTCTGTCCCCAGCCAATCACGTCCATTGAGTGGAGCCCGCATGAGAGCTCCACGCTCGCTTCCTCCTGTGCCGACAACCGGATCACGTAAGTGGTGTCGGAGTGGTGGGTGAGGGGGTTGGGGTCACCAGCAAGTGCCACTCGCTCCCAGCCTGTGCTTGTTCATAGCGCACTTCAACCACCACCGCCAGCCAATCACGTCCATCGAGTGGAGCCCGCATGAGAGCTCCACGCTCGCTACCTCCTGCGCTGACAACCATATCACGTAAGTGGTGTGGGAGTGGTGGCAGTGGTGGTGGGAGTGGTGGTGTGAGCGGTGGTGGGGGGAGTTGGGGTCATCAGCAAGTGCCACCCGCTCCCAGCCTGTGCTTTGTCCTCAGCCAATCACGTCCATTGAGTGGAGCCCGCATGAGAGCTCCACGCTCGCTTCCTCCTGTGCCGACAACCGGATCACGTAAGTGGTGTCGGAGTGGTGGGTGAGGGGGTTGGGGTCACCAGCAAGTGCCACTCGCTCCCAGCCTGTGCTTGTTCATAGCGCACTTCTGATGGAAAGCGCGCGAATCCGGAGAGCGTACAAGAGATTAAGTCTGCCGACTTCGACGGAACATTGCGTGCAGCTCACGTAATCTTAAACTATGAACAGGTACGCGTTAGAAAGTTCTTAATATCTTCTTTCCAGAATGGTAACGCACGCCTTCAACCAAGATCTAGGCCGATCGCTATCGCGATTTAAGTGCGACGGGGTATCCGAGCGGAATTACTTGGCAGCCATGGATTAGATCAAGAAAGTAACTTTAGCAAGAATTCAGATTTGCAAAGTGACGAGTTGGTCAAACCCTACCAACCGAACCCTCGCCCTACAACAATCCCCAACAACCCAAAGTGCCAAACTAGCAACACCAAAGTTGTTGTAGTGGGTAGCAAATGTTTGTTGGTGCTTGTTGGGTGCGAAATCAACTCCAGCCCGCAACAAGTCTAGCAAGCACATTTTGCCCAAACCCTTAGCCCACAACTAGCTAGAGCAAAATACCACAACCACCTACACTATCAACAACTTCAACCACCATCGCCAGCCCGTCACGTCCATTGAATGGAGCTCCCATGAGAGCTCCACCTTTGCTACCTCCTGCGCGGATAACCAGATCACGTGAGTGGTGGTGAGAGGTTGCAGTGGGGAAGGGGCGCATTCATAGCGCACTTCAACCACCACCGCCAGCCCATCACGTCCATCGCGTGGAGCCCGCATGAGAGCTCCACGCTCGCTACCTCCTGCGCTGACAACCAGCTCACGTAAGTGGTGTGGGAGTGGTGGTGGGAGTGGTGGTGGGAGTGGTGGTGGGAGTGGTGGTGGGAGTGGTGGTGGTGGGAGTGGTGGTGGGGAGAGTGGTGGTGGGGGGTGTGGTGGTGGGGGGAGTGGTGGTGGGGGGAGTGGTGGTGGGGGGAGTGGTGGTGGTGGGAGTTGAGGTCACCAGCAAATGCCACTCCCTCCCTTTCGTTCTCCTCATCCCTACACTCCCTCCCTCCATTCTTTCCTCCCCCCACCCCGTCAACTGCTTTCCTCAACCCGCCACCATGTGCGGAACAGCATATGGGACCTGTCATTGGAGCGAGATGCAGAGGAAGAGGCGGAGTTGAGGCAGGGCAGAAGAAGCCGCAGGCAGAGGCGCCATCAGACCTGCCTCCCCAGCCGCTCTTCGTGCACCAGGCATGTTCTCTCGCTTCCACTCTGTCACCCGCACCTACTAAATTCTGAGGTGCTTATAACATCGTGTGTAGAGAGACCTGCCTCCCCAGCTGCTCTTCGTGCACCAGGCATGCTCTCCCTTGCGCAATTTCACCCGAACTTTAACCCTCACCCAACCATCATGCTGTATTTGCGCATAAGCGCCGCCACCCTTTGGAGCCTCACCTCTCTGTTGATCACCACCCTTCCACGCGAGCACCATTCGGCCATGCTGTGGTTTGTGGTAGCAAGCACCATGCACTCACTCACCTCCTGGCCATCGCTGATCTTTCTCCACCTCTCTGCTTTTCCGCATCTTCAGGTAGGCATTGCTAGCATCTATAGCTCTTGCCTCAACTGTCTTTGCTGCCGCGCCTTGGCATCGTTTCTCGCTTTCACTTTGCCTTTGCAAAGTGCATCACTTTCTCTTCCCAAGGAGTTCAACAAATGCCACTTGTTGGGAACAGGTGTGCTGTAGAGGCACGATTCCTTCAAATTGTTACCCGCACCTGCTGCTGCAACTAGTTTCCTCCTCTGTCTCCTTCAATAAACCTCTTTTGATCCTCTTCTTCCCCCTCTCCCACCCCACTCTGCCACCCACTGCAGGGTCAGAAAAACATCAAGGAGCTACACTGGCATCCGCACATCACGGGATTCCGATTTCCACTGCTGCTGCTTTCACTACATTACTTCCTGGTCTTCGCTGTTCAACACATCGTTACTTCTTCGAGTCTGCGCTCCAGAGAATGTTTGTCAGGCTCTGCTCGAAGCTCTCCAGCTCGTGGTGCGTCTCCATTATCGCACAGAATGTCGGGAGCTCCCTCTCTGCGGCCTTGAGGTCGAATCCTGTCAGCTTGTTGCAGAATGCTTGCTGCATCCCAGAAGCCACTCACGGGACTTCCGCTCCCGTTGAGCCTTAATCTTCAGCCACTTCCCCGCCCGAAACAGCTTCGTCGGCCCCAGCTTCCCCATGTCATCCAGACGCTCGTTGAGGTTGTCCACGCATTCGCGGGCGAACATGCGACACAGCTTCATGCGCTCGGCGTAAGTGCTTCCGTACTTGTGCCCCGGGAGCTTATGTTGTGCATGGTATAGAGGTGGTTGATTGGGGTCCTTCACCGTCCACGCCTCGCACCCGGACCTTCTTGCCTCCGCCTTGCCCGTGCAGCTTCAAAAAGCTGACCAGCCAGCTCTTGCTCTCGCCATCAAACGGCTTGTCGTTCGTCAAGTACCGCTCCGTCAGATCCGCCGTGGTGGACTCAATGGTCTTAGAAATCTCCGTCACATCCAGCTGTCACAGCACCGCCATTGAGCACATGTTAGACAGTTACTAACGGTAAAACAAACCATGCACAAATAGAGGCCTACTCGCGAAAGTAAAATAAACTTACATCACGCTTCTGGAAGCAACGGTTGAGTTCGTTCATGTCGGCGAGGATGTCGGCGAGAAAGAACAGGCAGAACTGGAACTTGTAGCACGTCACAATCTCGTACGCCTTGTGGCTGTTCTCCCAGAGCAGGACGATGCACGCGCCCAGGACCTTGCACAGCCGACGCACCGCATCCCCTCGTGACAGCCACCGAACCGTGTGGATCCCCTGGACTTCAAGGTTCGTGTTGTAGATCACTCGCTGCAGGTACTTGAAGCGTTGACTCCAGACGCACGACTTCCCGAGCTCTGCCGCCACGGTGCGCACCACCCTGTCCACCATGTCCAGGTCCAGAATTTTCGTAGCGTTCTTCACATCTAGAGCCTCCCTGTAGGACGCAGGGGACATAACACAACATGTGTGAGTAAGACAAGTGACATGTCTTGCGTATCTTCACACCTTGTAAACTCACCGGTGGGCGATACAGTGACAGGAAAAGAGATGCGAGACGTGTTCCTTTATCCGCGCCACCAAGCCGTTATCCTTCCCCATCATGATCGACGCCCCATCCGTACCAACTCTCATGATCTTGGACACATCGACGAATGAGGAGCGGAGATGATTCATGAGCACCTCGATCAGAGACCCTGCATCACACTTCTCAACTCAAAGCAGGGTGAAAAACTCGCAGGGGACTTTTCAAAATTGTGAGGTAAACAATCATATGTTTCCCTCGCGTTCGGTCAGTGCTCTCGTCACAGCCGAGGCCCAGGAATGGGAAAGACTGGATGTGGTCCATCTGCACCCTTGTCAGGTAGAAACTGATGCTGTGAACCATCTGCTGGAAGCCGTACCTGCACATGTTTGTAGGCCACGTAGGATTGCCTTGGGATGTCGGGAACATGCTGATCGGCGCATCGCACTGGCAAAGAAACTCAACCGACCGCATGAGTCGAATCGCACGCCTCCCCTCGATGTCCGAGTTGATGAAGCTTGAAATCACCTGCTGCCCATTGCGGATGCCCTGCGCAATCTTCATCTGCCGATCAACCGCCGCCGTGTGAACGCCCGTGTGCTCGTGAGCCCGGAAAGACTGCGTCTGCAAGTCACGTCCACCATCATTACCTTGCCTGGCGTACTTTGTCTTCTCCTTCCCGTATGACATGCAGACGCTGCACTTCACATAGGGAAATCCATCCTTGGTTTTTCCAAACACAAGCCACGAAAACTGGCCCGACCACTTTGTCTCGTAATTGATACTCGCCTCAAGGTACATCTGCTCTCTCAGCTGCATCTTGGTGAGTGCGGGCGAGCCGGTGTCCGCGCGGACAGGGATGTTAGTTGACTCCTGGATCTCAGCGACATCAGGTGGTGGATCAGCCGGGTTGTCAGGCGGTGGAAGACGGCGACCTCCGATGAACAGGGCACTCTGCGCCCACTTCCCATATCGCGCTCGCTTTGGGCAGGTTGAAGCCAACGGAGGACCAACGGACACCCGCACCGTGCTTGGTGTCGGACTTGGCACGGCCAATGGGGGATCTTTACTGCAAGAAGCAAGAGCCGGGGGTAGAGTGAAGGCGGCGGGACGGCGAGACTCAGTCGGCGTGGAGGTTTCTCTACCTTCAGAGTCATAGACGGTGGACCTAAGAGGATCGGGTGTTACTGGAGCAGCGCTAGTTCTAAGAAAATCGAGCCTCGGGCGTCGGGCATCAGAAGCTTTCTCCAGCAGGGTAGGCTCCGTGGGTTTTGACGGTAACGGTGGCTCATCTGAGCCATCATGAGGAGAAGCATCGTCGACATGCAGGCCTTCCATGGCGGCGAGAAAGAAGAGACGAGGAGTGAGAGATACTGAGAGAATGATTGAACGAAATGAAAAATAAGCGCACCACATCCAGGACCCTGGCCTAGGGGAGGGGGAAGCTAAAGATGGTTGGAGAAGACGGGGTCAGCAAGAAACCTCCGCGTCGCCACGAAATTGATGGCTCGATGCCCGAAACCTCGAGTCGTCAATGAATTCGGCCATTCATGCAAGGCCGAATACATTGAAGGACTGCCTGTCTGCCAGCGCCGACTGTAAAAAAACCTATCTGGCCAATGAGGGACACATACTATGCTTTGCACGGTACGCGTGGCAGCAAACCATCATATTCTGGTTGCTTTGTCAAAGTGGTGCTATGCAGCGGTGCTGTACAGCGGAGCGTGGTGTTACTTGTCGGTATTACGTCAGTACTGCGCGTGAAAGGGGTCCCTCACACAGGGGAAGGCGAAATCATGATTACGCACACGAGGGGGTCTCGTAGGAAATTTCCGGGAAGCTTCGTCCCGATAGCGTCTCATTCAAGGTCCGCATGACGCGTACTCTGTTTTGACAGGGACCATAAGAACACTACCCTGAGAGTGTATACAAAATTACAGGGTCCGCTAAATTATTAGTCTGACTGGATCAGTGTTCACAAGTCGTAAAATCTGATCTTACAGGTACCACAAGGTGACAAGGCTGAAATCACCCTGAAATCAGGGTAATTACCCTGATAAAATCAGCCCTGCCTCAGGAAGGTTCGCATAGAGTAAGTTGCAGCGCAAGTATTGATCTCAGGTCAGATTGATTCTAAAATGACTTAATATAAACGAGCACATACATAGGTGTATATAATAATACAAAGGGAAAAACAAACGTCCTAACTAGCCATGTATTTTAATGCGTACATTCCCTAAAACACAACGGTGCGGCTCCATGTCAACGGGAGTTGTTGTTGGCCCCGTCCTCGCTTGGGCGGAGCCGACTTCGTGGTTGGGTGTACGGGAGGTGCAGCCGACTTGCAGCAGTGGGCGACGCCGACTTGGGCGAGCTGGTCGACGGGTTTTGTCGACTTGCACGGGGCCACTGCAATGCCGCCGACTTGGGAAGCCGGCGGCCGACTTCAACTGGTGGTCGGTGATGTGGCGCGTCGACCTGGAAGTCGGCGCCGACTTGCATGGTCGCCGAATTGGGAGGTCGCCGACTTGGGAGGTCGCCGACTTCAAGAGGTCGGCCTGGAAGTCGGAGTTGACTTGGTGACGCCGACTTGGGGTAGCCGACTGGGTGTGGTCAGCTGACAGATGTGCTGGTCGAACTGGAGCTGGTCGACCAAGGGTGTGGTTGACCAAGTGAGGTCGATTGGAAGTGGTCTTCGACTTGGGTGGTCGACGGGCACGTGAAGGAGCAGCTGGTCGACGTGGTTGCCCGGTCGACCTGGTTACCTGAGTGACGAGGTTCTGCGAAGGCACGCGACAGTCGCCCAGGTGTTCGTGGCGAGGCCGACCTCGGTGGTGGTATTTCGAGGTCGACGTGGCTGATCAGATGCATTCCTCAGCACGAGGTTGATTTGGT